TGTGTTGGGGTACACCTGGTGGGTGTGGGGTACACCTGGGGTACACCTGGTGGGTGTGTTGGGGTACACCTGGTGGGTGTGTTGGGGTACACCTGGTGGGTGTGTTGGGGTACACCTGGTGGGTGTGTTGGGGTACACCTGGTGGTGTGTGTTGGGGTACACCTGGTGGGTGTGTTGGGGTACACCTGGTGGGTGTGTTGGGGTACACCTGGTGGGTGTGTTGGGGTACACCTGGTGGGTGTGTTGGGGTACACCTGTGTTGGGGTACACCTGGTGGGTGTGTTGGGGTACACCTGGTGGGTGTGTTGGGGTACACCTGGTGTGTTGGGGTACACCTGGTGGGTGTGTTGGGGTACACCTGGTGGGTGTGTTGGGGTACACCTGGTGGGTGTGTTGGGGTACACCTGGTGGGTGTGTTGGGGTACACCTGGTGGGTGTGTTGGGGTACACCTGGTGGGTGTGTTGGGGTACACCTGGTGGGTGTGTTGGGGTACACCTGGTGGTGTGTGTTGGGGTACACCTGGTGGGTGTGTTGGGGTACACCTGGTGGGTGTGTTGGGGTACACCTGGTGGGTGTGTTGGGGTACACCTGGTGGGTGTGGGTGTGTGGGGTACACCTGGTGGGTGTGTTGGGGTACACCTGGTGGGTGTGTTGGGGTACACCTGGTGGGTGTGTTGGGGTACACCTGGTGGGTGTGTTGGGGTACACCTGGTGGGTGTGTTGGGGTACACCTGGTGGGTGTGTTGGGGTACACCTGGTGGGTGTGTTGGGGTACACCTGGTGGGTGTGTTGGGGTACACCTGGTGGGTGTGTTGGGGTACACCTGGTGGGTGTGTTGGGGTACACCTGGTGGGTGTGTTGGGGTACACCTGGTGGGTGTGTTGGGGTACACCTGGTTGGTGTGTTGGGGTACACCTGGTGGGTGTGTTGGGGTACACCTGGTGGGTGTGTTGGGGTACACCTGGTGGGTGTGTTGGGGTACACCTGGTGGGTGTGTTGGGGTACACCTGGTGGGTGTGTTGGGGTACACCTGGTGGGTGTGTTGGGGTACACCTGGTGGGTGTGTTGGGGTACACCTGGTGGGTGTGTTGGGGTACACCTGGTGGGAGTGTTGGGGTACACCTGGTGGGTGTGTTGGGGTACACCTGGTGGGTGTGTTGGGGTACACCTGGTGGGTGTGTTGGGGTACATCTGGTGGGTGTGTTGGGGTACACCTGGTGGGTGTGTTGGGGTACACCTGGTGGGTGTGTTGGGGTACACCTGGTGGGTGTGTTGGGGTACACCTGGTGGGTGTGTTGGGGTACACCTGGTGGGTGTGTTGGGGTACACCTGGTGGGTGTGTTGGAGTACACCTGGTGGGTGTGTTGGGGTACACCTGGTGGGTGTGTTGGGGTACATCTGGTGGGTGTGTTGGGGTACACCTGGTGGGTGTGTTGGGGTACACCTGGTGGGTGTGTTGGGGTACACCTGGTGGGTGTGTTGGGGTACACCTGGTGGGTGTGTTGGGGTACACCTGGTGGGTGTGTTGGGGTACACCTGGTGGGTGTGTTGGGGTACACCTGGTGGGTGTGTTGGGGTACACCTGGTGGGTGTGTTGGGGTACACCTGGTGGGTGTGTTGGGGTACACCTGGTGGGTGTGTAGGGGTACACCTGGTGGGTGTGTTGGGGTACACCTGGTGGGTGTGTTGGGGTACACCTGGTGGGTGTGTTGGGGTACACCTGGTGGGTGTGTTGGGGTACACCTGGTGGGTGTGTTGGGGTACACCTGGTGGGTGTGTAGGGGTACACCTGGTGGGTGTGTTGGGGTACACCTGGTGGGTGTGTTGGGGTACACCTGGTGGGTGTGTTGGGGTACACCTGGTGGGTGTGTTGGGGTACACCTGGTGGGTGTGTTGGGGTACACCTGGTGGGTGTGTTGGGGTACACCTGGTGGGTGTGTTGGGGTACACCTGGTGGGTGTGTTGGGTACACCTGGTGGGTGTGTTGGGGTACACCTGGTGGGTGTGTTGGGGTACACCTGGTGGGTGTGTTGGGGTACATCTGCTGGCCATTTTTTTCATAATTTTTTCTTACGTTTTTTGGTATCTTTTTAAAGAAAGTTTACTATATAATTCACTAAAGAAAATATTAATCTGTTCGTAAGAGGTTCAATGTATATTCCATAAAATCTTCAGACTAGATCACAACTCTCATCATTCGTGAGTTGATGAGTTGATGTAATACAAAACTGTTCTTCAACTGCACTCCCCGACTAACTCAAAAATAAACTGATATATCTGTACAAATAACATTTTCTGTTCCACTCTACCTGCTCTAAAAAACGTATATAATTAATTAACACCTATACTCTGTTGTTTAGAAAATATGATGATAAATGGATCATGTAGTCTTAAAAATACATTTTGTATAATGAAGTGAAGTAATTTATTCTAAAAAACTATCTCTCATATGCTTCATTTAGGATATAACAACGAAGGATAGTATACACATGAAATGTAATTAAATATTTTAGTGGTAAGTAAATATATTTGCTCGTTCAATGGGTCATTTCATTAATATTTATGTCTATCAAAAGCTAATTAGCCTAAAATATTACATTACTTCAGACATCTGGTGTTTAATAATTGCAAGTTCCCCTCTAATCCCCCTGGACCCTGGTTTATAATATGGAGAGGGAGGTTACAGTGTCCAATCTCTGGTACTTTATCTGCCTCTGCCTGTCTCTGTCTCTGCCTGCCTCTGTCTCTGTGTCTCTGTCTCTGTCTCTCTCTCTCTCTCTCTCTCTCTCTCTCTCTCTCTCTCTCTCTCTCTCTCTCTCTCTCTCTCTCTCTCTCTCTCTCTCTCTCTCTCTCTCTCCTTGCCACTGATCATATCCCTCGTAGTCCTACAATATCCAGGCATCCCAACACATCTCTCTCCATTCTAGCAACATTCAAACCACCCAGCACAGTCCTCCTCAGTCATGCAACTTCTAAACCCCCCACCATATTGTGTTGTGAATTGTGACCAAAGAGCCAAAACTCAACCCCCGCAAGCACAACTAGGTGAATACATACCTCTCCATTCTTGCAATATCCTGGCCCCACAACACATCCTTTCCCAGTCTTGCAGCATCAAGGCTGCACATAGTGCTCAAAACAAGACTGATTAGAATCACACCACTATCGCCACATTAACACGCTGCCTAGTCTGATTAATTTCACCAAAGGAATGACCAATCTGATTAATCATATCCAGTGATCTTACGCCAAATTGTATGACCCTACGTTAACTTGTTCGAATTGTCCACTAACTGAACTTAACGTTAAGTTGTCTAATCTCAGATCAGCAAGTCCATGCTAACAATGAGAAGCCTGATGTTCCTGAAGCTTTTCTCATGAGACATCGACATGTCTGACCGTAAAAAGATATTACTGACAATAACTGATGCCAGAATAACTATGGACTTCTTCAAGAGAAAACTAGATTCTTCAAGAAGTGCCGGACCAACCGGGCTCTGTTGGATATGTGGGCCTGCGGGCCGCTCCAAGTAACAGGCTAGTGGACAAAGCTCTCACAAGTCAAGCCTGGTCTTGGGCCGGCTTGGGGAGTAGAAGAACTCCTAGAACCCCCATCAAGCAGATAAATTAATACGGAAGACTACAATGAAACACAATAGTCGTCACAGTCAGTGTGAGACGGCTCCAATGTACACGAAGTTGTGACATGTTCTCTTTATATGGAGCTTGACTTTAAAGCTTACTGTGGTAAATGCTTCAGCGACTCTAGAGTCGAGAGCATCGTTTATAATCTGGAGGTCTCTGAACCCCCTAGGGATCCGCGAGAGGTCACTATGATGTTTCCACGTGATGTCACTAAGGGTTCAGCAAGAAATAATGAAAATAGACTAATGCTAATCCCATACAAATTTATTTTTTATTTATTTTTGTTTAATTTCATGTATGAAATGCTTTGACATATCTCAAGTTTTTTCAATATTGTCAGCGGTGATTTGTTGTGTTTACACAATAAATCACCGCTGTGATTAATTAACTTATGTTTAAGAGATTAATAAAGTATTCCACAAGGGTAGTAAGGTTGAGAACCTCTGGTCTAGCACACGGTACGCTAGTTTTCAGTTCTATTAGCGGACTAATGTTAATTAACTTCATCTAGACTTTATTAAACTTCAGTGAATATTGGTACAAGTTCGGTTGTGATATGAATGCTTTAGGTATGCGTCTAAATCTTGTGAAAATATCAGTCATGTTCCACACGTTTCGGCAGTTTGAAAATACTTTAATTTTAAAGGTATTTATGTAATAATATTATGTTGCTCTTTTTCTTCAGTGTTAATCTCACCACTCTCTCCTTCCGCTCTGTCATCTCTCCTCTTCCCGCATCTCTCCTCCCACCTTGTCATCTCTCCCAGTCTTCTCCCACAGCCTCTGTTAACTCAGTCATTATTCATGCTGTGTGTGCGCGCTCTATCAACAAGGCAGCAACTCTGCCCAACTCACAAAGGCAACTTCCACTCTTGTGTATCTGCATATTTCTTAAGGATTTGTTCCTGTTCTTCTACATTTTTATAAAAGGATTATTCTCTGACATTTCTCTCTCTTTATGCAGAGAAGTTATAGTGAGGGTGCCTTCAGAGCTTCAAAAAATGCAACATGAAAGTACTCTTATTAAGAAGATGGTCCAGGTGGATGTGAATCATATAAATGTCATTTCTGAATGAAAAAAAAATACAAAAATACTGCCTTTACCACATTTCATTTATGAAAAATTTTGCGCAATTTTAAATATCATTTTGATTCTCGCTGTCGGGGACAGGACGCCTGTACTTTCACTTTTATCGAGTTCCACCCAAAGAAGCCCTACTGGGCTTTCCAAATTCCAGGAAAACCATTTTTGCCTTGTTCTCTTTATTAATTCATATAACAATGAGAGAAGCAACTAAAACAACGTTTAACATCATCATTTACAATAACATTTAAAATTATAATAATACTGTTATTTATATAAGTCGTCTTTATACCTGAAAAATCATAAAACATGAAAACCAAAATAGTTACTACTGAAGGTGTCAGAAAAACAATGTTTATTAAATTGGATCATCATGTAACACAAGTCAGGATCAACAGGGACCGTTTGCAATACCATCTTGATGTTTCACAAGAAGCAACAAGTTTCTGTATTTTTAATACTTAAATCATTAAGCTGTTTGAACCTGCAAATTTGTTTTTTAATCATCTATGATGATGAGAAAATATTTCGGTATAGATTGTGTACTTTTCATTTTAGGGCAAAATTCATCATAATTCGATTTGCAATAATTTATTGACACTTTCAAAAACTGAATATTTATACAAAGATATCAACATGATAATATGAATGAAAGGAAAATGAATATAAAAAGCCTCTTGCATCATGTCTTATCTAAATGCGTCTTTGTAACTTTGATGCCATTCGCAAAGGTCAGGGAAGTCTTTGGAGGGAGAATCAGAGTTGCACTCAGAAGCCGGAGGACCCACTCGGTACATGGGTTTTCCCAGTGTGTTCCCCATGGGACCGTAGTTACACACATACACACGACTCACTGTCCCTTCACCTTCTGTGTAATACACGGCCCCACATCCCACCTCTCGCGTCAAGCTCCACAACATCTGGGAAAGAGGTGTGAAATAAACAATTGTGAAGGATATATAAGCATAAACTCTCGAAAATGAGACCTCGACAGAGATGCCATTATCTGATGATGTTTGATGAGATCTAGGTTTTAAACATTGGCAAGGAAGCAAATTCTCTATTTTGTAAATTTAAGTCGGGTCTTGTTGACCAGACCACACACTAGAAATTGATGGGACGACGACGTTTCGGTCCGTCCTGGACCATTCTCAAGTCGATTGTGAATGGTCCACAATCGACTTGACAATCGACTTGAGAATGGTCCAGGACGGACCGAAACGTCGTCGTCCCTTCAATTTCTAGTGTGTGGTCTGGTCAACATACTTCAGCCACGTTATTGTGACTCATCGCCTGCAAGTCGGGTCTTTCTTCTCCAAGAAGTATTGCTTCCAGGATTTGCAGTCTTCTTTGGTCAGTAGTAGATGCTAAGAATTTTGAATTATGTACAAGCATATTCTTAGTGAGTGTCATGTTAAGTTCACTTTGCATATGGTTTCTGAGGACACCAGTTCTTAGACGGCAAGTCAGTCTTCTTGCAAACTTGGTCGTGGTCATACCAATATAGGTAGATCAAAGGTGACATCCTTCATTGGGTCATGTTTGCTCTTTGTAAAGGGTTTTGCTGTTTTAATACTCAAGAACATCTGCAATATACACCACAACCATCTCCTAAAACCAAACGTGGTATATATATATATATATATATATATATATATATATATATATATATATATATATATATATATATATATAATACAAGAAGGTACATTGGGTTTATGAGTGTACATAGCATTTAGGTTTTTACATTCTTGTAAAGTATGCATAGCGTTTCGAGCTATCAAACGGCAGATAAAGGATGCGTAACTTAATAAAGGATGTCACCTTCGCACTACCCTGGGAATTTTTACATTAAATTAAGATTCTTTTGTTCAACCTGTACATTTTTGCCTCGTCCTTGGACGTCAAAAACCTGGGACATTTTTACTTTAACTTGGGACTTACTTGCGTATAGTGGCCAATATCTTTACCGGAGTTATCTTGGAAGCCTTCAGCCAAAGATTTGGGTACATCTGCCACCTCATTGTACCACTGCTCAATTGCCTCGGCCCAGTTCTGGAAAGAAAATCCAGAGTTACAGAATGAAAGACACAAAGCCCTTTCTGCCACTGCAGTTTATCTAAGTCTGTAAAATCGGACAACCTTTTGTCTGCGATTCTAAGGTTGGAACCTAGATGCTTCAGGCTAGTCTCATACAATGTTACCTGGTGACTGGTAAGTGTTTGTGAATGCAGATTGTTCAAATTATGGTGTATCCAGATATTGATATGAATTACGATTGTTCAGATGACAGTTTTGCATTCTGGGCGCCAACTTTTTTGGGTACTGTGCTGAAGATAGTGTAGTGAAGATAAGTACAGTGATGGATAATGTGTATTAAAGATGAGTACAGTGATGGAGAATGTGTATTAAAGGTGAGTACAGTGATGGAGAATGTGTATTAAAGAGAGTTAAAGTGATGGCCGCAATATGAAATGAAAAATGTTTCAGTGACCGGGGAGAGATAGGGAGAGTGTTTGTAAGAGGAGACAGAGAGAGTGTATGCAAATGGTGAGGAGGAGTGTGGTGGAAACTTGGAGGGTGTGTAAAGTGCGTTATCAAGAACATATTTTTTATAAGCAATATTGAGATGAATTTAATTTTGACTATGATAGATGGTTTGGTTAGAATTATATCTGTATCTGAGAGAAGGTGCACATTATCCCTTCTGTATCACGTTTGGCGTGGACTTTACTTCCCCAGTGATGATTCTGATTGGCTTCTGCAGTCATGTATCAGAGTAGTTACTCTAGTGACGATTCAGAATAGCTCTTCCAGTGATAGTTCAGAGTGGCTCCTCCCGTGATGGTAGTTCATGGGACTATCTTTCTCTATTGTGGTTTGTTATGACCTCAGATAACCTCTACCAATATGTTGTACGTGCTCCCAAAGGTGAGATATTTCTAAATTATTTATCAATAAATCAACAACGAGAGAATGAAATTGGAACACTCTAACTAATGTTTCAAAATTGTTTACATGTTAACATTTAATATATTATAATTAATTCTTTACCAGAAACTATTAAAATATAAGAATTACTTACAAGGTTTTATGTAAACATATATATTAACATTCACCCAAGTACACATTTTCAGTCCAGAAACTATTTGCCTGCTTATTCAGAATCACCGTAACTAAATAGTTCTGTCCGCTGAAATATAACAGGGATGACTGTCACTCTAACCCTGAGGTATTGACCAATGGACTAAACTTCCCACAGGCCAACATGAAGGTGGACTCACCGGGGTCGGGTCACTACCAGACTGGAAATAAAGGTTCTGACCCACGGTGTAGTCCCTCGAGCAGATCTTTCTCTGGTCCTTTCCGTCGTGATCGAAGACACATTGGTTAGCCCAGGCCTGAAGGAGGAACATTGATGACGAATGTGTATATATATATATATATATATATATATATATATATATATATATATATATATATATATATATATATATATATATATATCATAAATAGTATTTATCTATAATATACATGTGAAAAATAGAGAATGCCAAACGCGTTTGGCGTTTCAAAGCGTGTATAACGCTTTGAAACTACTGACGGTTTTCGCCTCCACTCACCTTCGTGTGTGTGTGTGTGTATACTCATCAAATTGTACTCACGTAGCTGTGCTTGCTCGGGTTGAGCTTCGGCTCTTTGCTCCAGCAAACACCCTGTTGTGTGTGTGTGTCTGTGTTAAAACTGTGTTTAAATAAAACCAAAGTTCCGAGTTCACTCGGAGGATGTGAACATACTATCACATACATACCCTCCTGGTCTGTCACACCCACCTGAGCCACAGAGGCCAGCTCATCGTTCCAGAGCAATACCAGCATGTCTGCTGCCAGCGGCTGAGGGCCCGGGGAGCCTCGCTTCTCGTCACCCCTCGCCACCTGTCAAGGGAACACTGGGTCAGCCACGTGAGGTGAGCCATTTGCTATATGGATTAATTGAACCCACTTTAGCCATTAAATTGGATTCATATAGGATTCCCACAAATAATCTTTTATATGCATATTGATCCTCTGGTTACGGATATAGTGTGAAATAATTTATATTATTTATAAGAGTTTATTATTAGTTGTTAGTTGTTGGACTTATGGCCTGTCAATATATGGAACGTTATTAAGATCACCACAATAGTTAATTACCCAACTACCAAGTATACCTTAGTTCTGGGCATTGCTCTTAAACGAGAAACAGTCAATATATCCAGCTTGCACATCTTCGAAATTTCAACATTGCCCAAATTATACCTTATAAGTCTATATTTATTTGCTAAACCAATTTTAAAGTGATATTAGACAGTGTAAAAAAAAAAAAATGGGTTACTTTTTTCATGCACTTCTTTGATATTAAGTACACGTAATAATCCGCCTTTTATTTTTCTCCTTCCAGGACTGAATAAATGTAAAGCTTTAAAACGGGATTCGGATAATTCATTTTTGTCTTGGAATCAGTATTGTTGAATTCCTGAACATTACTATCAGTATTGTTGAATTCATTAACAGTACTGATCATTGATCAGTATTGATCATTGATGAATTCATCAACATTACTATCAGTATTGTTGAATTCCTAAACATTACTATCAGTTTCGTTGAACTCATCAATATTCCTATTAAAACTGACTAAGTTTCTTAATGCATCATTAAGAAGAGTAGTTCGGCACCTCAAAACGTTACTAATTTACTACCCTCGTTACCCTCTAACCTGGTAACTCATTTCCTCCCCCAACTATATACTTTCCCCCCTCATTAATTACAGAGTCACCTGCCCCCCACAACTGCCCCAGAAGCACAGTGTGAGCCCCCACAGTGAGCCCCAGACGTTAAGGCTCAATGTGAGCTCCAGTATTTATAAAATAAATCACATAAATATCCACATATTTTCTCATGATTGAGTCATGCATTTTTTTGTATTATTCTTGCGTAAATTGCATATATGTCTATGAGTGCTTAATGAATTTTCAGTTTTAATATACACAAGTTAAAATGGATTTGTGCTGAAGTTAGAAAATTATCAGTTGGCTAAAATTCAAGACAATACTTAGCACAGACCTGAGCTCTGAGTGTGTTGTGTGCCTTAAGGATTTCATCCCTCTCCTCCTGTGAAACGTCATTCTTGCTGATGCTGCAGGTACCCTTGTCCGGCAGCATTGCACTGTGCTCAGCATGGAACTGTGAATAGTCGCACGATGGTGGCTCGGCCTGGCGAGTCGGCAGGTCTGATGGTGGAGAGGTGGCTCGTTCTGTCGGAGAGAGGGTACTTGCGTCGGTCGGGTGGGAGGTACTTGCGTCGGTCGGCTGGGAGATATTTGCGTCGGTCGGCTGGGAGGTACTTGCGTTGGTCGGCTGGGAGGTACTTGCGTCGGTCGGCTGGGAGGTACTTGCGTTGGTCGGCTGGGAGGTACTTGCGTCGGTCGGCTGGGAGGTACTTTTGTCATTCTTGTGGAAGATATTTGCTTCTGTCGGATGGGAGACACATGCTTCTCTCCGGTGGATGATACTTGCGTCGGTCGGGTGGGCGATACTTGCTTCTCTCCGGTGGATGATATTTGCTACTCTTGGGTGGAAGATACTTGGTTCTCTCGGTTTGAAGATATCTACTTCTGGGGAGATATTGGTTGGGAGATATTGGTTGGGAGGTTGGGAGATATTTGCTTCTGCCGGCTGGACGATATTTTCTTCTATCGGGTGGACGGTACCTTCTTCTCGCGTGTATAATACATTTATTTCTGACTGGTGGAAGAGACTTTCGTCTGACGGGTGTAAAATACTCGCTTCTTTTGGGTGAATATGGAAAGATTCTGTAGGCAATCTGGTACTTGGATTTAAAGTAGTAGTCTCTACTGAACTGAAAGGGCCTTGTTGACCTAGATGGCATATAAGTGGATTGTCTGGATGGAAATTGACTTGACTTCTTGACTGATATGCTACTGTTCCGTCTATCTGGATAGCGACTGGCTTCGTTATCTCGATATCATATGAATTCTTTGAAGTTGACGCGAGTAGATGTTTCCTATTGTATGGGATATAGTGGGTTCCGTTCGTAATGTAGCAAATGACTTCGACTGGAGTTTTAGTGGTGGAGGAGACTGGCTGTGTCAGCGGATGTTGTGTATGTTCGACCAGAGAGTTCATCTGGGCTGAATTCTGATTTTTGTTCACTGGCTTTGGATACACTGGTACGAGTGACCCAAAACTCTTTGGGAAAACTGGAGTGCCAAGCTTAGAGACGATCCCTTTTAGTTGATTGAAAGTGCGTATTTGTGGGTTTGATAGTTTGTGAGAGAGTGATCTTGGCGGTACTGGCCACATTCCCCTGACCATATTTCCTGAAATATGACACCCTATCAGATGATAAATAAATTGGCAATACATAATAAATCATTGTTTTATATGAAAATAATATTGATACTTTTCAGTTTTACATAGTAAAGCTCAAAGAATAGGAGTTCAGTGGTAAAATCTAAATCTAAATTTTTGGTTTATACATTAAAAATTAGAAATCTACTGATTCAAAATGAGTAAAAACTATGTTATGAATGTAGACAATTCATACATTAATATAAATTCCATTTAAGATATCGATGAAATTCTAACTAATTAAAGATAAGTTGATAATAAGTTTCCAACACCTTACATTCAACTTCAATAACTTTCATTTCAATAAGAAACTTCAATAAGTTTCCAGCAACTTATTGAAGAGCGTCTTTTAGATGTAATCAGATTGTCAGCTTATTCTGGTTGAGGATCTTCATATGACATCTTATCCTCTTTAGAAACCAAGTCCCTATCTTGAGATCTTGAGATGATTTCGGGGAGCAGCCCGTGACAGCTGACTAACTCCCAGGTACCTATTTACTGCTAGGTAACAGGGGCTTTCAGGGTGAAAGAAACTTTGCCCATTGGTTTCTGCCTCGTGCGGGAATCGAACCCGCGCCACAGAATTACGAATCCTGCGCGCTATCCACCAGGCTACGAGGCCCCTATAACAACTTTTCTTTGTTTTGGACCTAATTCCTATTGCAAGTTCATCATTTTGAGAACCTAATTCAGAAGGCAGCTTGTTCTTGTCAGGGATTTTTTCAATATTGTATATTGTCATTATTAACAACCTAGTCATGAAAAGTAAAATGAGTCTGCTTCTGTTACTAGTCGTGGAAGTATCTTGGTGGTACTTAAAATTTGTTAAGTGTTTTGTAGTTATAATATATTACTTAACAGTATGTAAGTGACTGCATTTGATAGTTGGGAATTAAAAGGTGACTGCACATGCGACTTGCGTCTCCGACTATCTTGAGCTTATCTTGAGATGATTTCGGGGCTTAGTGTCCCCGCGGCCCGGTCTTCGACCAGGCCTCCACCCCCCAGGAAGTAGCCCGTGACAGCTGACTAACTCCCAGGTACCTATTTACTGCTAAGTAACAGGTGCATCAAGTTGAAAGAAACTCTGCCCATTGTTTCTCGCCGGCACCTGGGATCGAACCCGGGACGACAGGATCACGCGTCCAGTGTTCTGTTCGCTCAGACACCGACTTTCCCTGAGTCTACAGCAGTTGATACCTAACAAATATCCCGAGAGTTCTACACAAAAGTACACGCCACTATAATCTATATGCATCTAATACAACACATGGAATATCTCCTGAGACTACACAAAACACTAAACTTTAAGACAATCGACTTGAGAATGGTCCAGGACGGACCGAAACGTCGTCGTCCCTTCAACTTTTAGTGTGTGGTCTGGTCAACACTAAACATTACATATCAAGGAATACTGGCCCGAGGCAGCACATGAGAGTATACATAACACTATATGTAAACTACACTAGCAACATCACACGTGAACACGAGAATATACGTGAATGCACTACAAAATACATGGTAAACAGCACCTATGCCACACATGAATACATGTTTAAACTCACTTGTGATTATCCTTGAGGCAAAACTTAGAAAGATTAGACTACACTTTACTGTGTAAAGTAATGTAAAGTTTTACTTTAGTAAAAGTAAAGTTTACTTTAGGATAATACATTTTAGAACTAAAACTTTCTATAACAAATACACAAATACAAATAAAACTTTCGTAAAATTAATTAAACTTTATCCTTTAATTTTCCAAAGAGAATACTTCAGATTAAACAGCGTTATATCGGAGGAAACCATTTGAGAAATTCTCGAAACAGCATCTTACACTTTTCCTGAAAGAACATCTTAGCCTTTCCAGAAACAATGCTTAAGACTATTGTTCAGGCTTTCGCTGAACTACTGTTCGATAATAGGTCTTTGGGCTCCATAGGGAATATCAGAACAATTTATTCCAGTGTAATTAATTCATTCGCCTACATGAAGGCTCTGGCACCCAGGTGGATCAAATCTAAACAGTAACTAACATCATTGTGTTTTAAAAACTTTGTTTATTCTTAATTTAAACTTATAAAATAACACGCTTTTTTTAAATTATAAATTATTATAATTTTTTATAATAATATAAAAAATTATAAAAATGTTTTTTATAAAAATTATAAAAATAGCACTTATAAAATAAAACGGTAGAGCGACGATTTCGCTCCATGCAGGTGGGCGTTCAATCCCTGACCGTCCAAGCGGTTGGGCACCATTCCTTTCCCCTGTCCCATCCCAAATCCTGACCCCTTCCAAGTCCTATATTGTTGTAGTTGGCTTGGGGTTTTCTCCTGATAATTCCTTTCCTTTCTCCTTATAAAATATCAATCAAATAAATCATTTTGAGAGAGAGAGAGAGAGAGAGAGAGAGAGAGAGAGAGAGAGAGAGAGAGAGAGAGAGAGAGAGAGAGAGAGAGAGAGAGAGAGAGAGAGAGAGAGAGAGAGAGAGAGAGAGAGAGAGAGAGAGAGAGAGAGAGAGAGAGAGAGAAGCGCATGGGAAACGACTAAACGAGCAAAATCAGTTCAAATTACCTTGTATCACCAGCAGGAACAACAACAGAGACATCACCGAGGCAGCACCATCCGTCGCCATGGTCAGCTGATGACTGACGCTTCCTGTTTCTGTCTCCTTTATATACCTCACTCACCTTACCCAATACTCATTATAGACAAAACACAACACTCACGACATATTCAGACGATGGTATTGGTGCGTATAACGTCATTTATTCTGCTATTGCTTGTCATAGGAATAAGAATCACATAGGAATCTATAAGGAAACGTTGCAACCTGCTCTCCACAAGACAGCACATATATGACTTATTGCTTTAGTCACTATTTACCTTATAAATAAGTACATATGTGACATATTATAAGCCATGTTTTTTTCCAAGGCACTAACGTTTTCTTTCAGTTTTATTAAACAATAGAGATTTTATGCAAAATTTGACAATATCCTGAGTTACTTTACAATTTATTTAAATATTTTAGTTTTGTTTTGTTATTTTTATAAAACTATAAATATAGGTTCAATATAGGTATAGGTTCAGAACTAATTGTAATATCTTAACATACTAAGAAGGTTAGGTTAGGTTGTGGTTTTCTATTCAGCTTTTCAAGGTAAACTGAAATATTCACAATGAATTAGTATGTCACATATGCACTTATTCATAAGCAAGATATTGACTATAAGCAAGTGCGAGAACGGGTTGCGCAACAAATTATAATAATTACAAGGCGTTAAAGTGCTTATATTCAGAGAAGTAATAGTTTGGTTATAGCTTTGAAAGACGGATAAACCAGAGAGTTACAGTTAGCGAGAGAACCTCAGAAACTATTCGTGTTTGCTGTGGAAACAATATTAAGTTAAACACAACAGTGTTCCAGCAGCAACACTTGGGGTGACCGTCACAACACCATCGAGAGTTGAGACACAACACAGCCAGAGTATATCCTTCATGATCATCACTACTTCCTAATCCTAACCTGACTTAGCCTAGTCTATCCTTGCATAACCTAGTCTATCCTTGCATAACCTAGTCTATCCTTGCATAACCTAGTCTATCCTTGCATAACCTAGTCTTACTTAATAACATTCTTTAGCTAACCTAACCTTACCATACCTAACCTAACCGCACCAAACCTAACCTTATCCAACCTTACCTTACCTAATCTAACTTACCCTTTCCTAACCAAATCTAACCTAACATGCCTTAGCTAACATAACATCTGCTAATCTAACGCCCAAATCCACACAAATTACAAAATATACTCTGAAGCCCACACCAGTAAGATAACACGTGCTTACACCCACACCAGTACCAGTACACACCCCAACATCAACACCAGTGCCAGTACACGCCCCTACACCCACACCAGTACCTGTACACACCCCTACATCAACACCAGTACCAGTACACACCCCTACATCAACACCAGTACCAGTGCACACCCCAACATCAACACCAGTACACACCCCTACATCAACACCAGTACCAGTACACACCCCTACATCAACACCAGTACCAGTACACACCCCTACATCAACACCAGTACCAGTACACACCCCTACATCAACACCACTACCAGTACACACCCCTACATCAACACCAGTACCAGTACACACCCCTACATCAACACCAGTACCAGTATACATCCCCTACACCCACACCTGTACCAGTACACACCAACACCACTATTAGTACACCCGCTGCCACAAACAACAAAACTCAGTACATAATTTCGAACGTATTCTCTGGACCGTCGGCAGAGGAGATTAACAAAGATAATCCCATGAATTAGAGATCTTCCCATTAGAGAAAAAAATATAATTTACAATTTACATTCTGTATAAAAACGAAAAGTAGAGGTGAATGATTGATGTATATAGATGCAATTGTATAACAAAGTAGATGTAAATTGGGTATTATAAAAATGAATAAAGCACCAGCCCAAAACGAAACTCGAAATAATGGGTATAAATTGGAGAGGTTTAGATACAGAAAAGGCCATGATCGATACTGATTTGTAAACAAGGTTATTGATGTATTGGACAAATTACCCGTTAGCATAGTAGGTATATGAAGGGATTTGGTGGCTTCGTGTGATCCAATTGGATTTCTTCAGGTTCCTTAGCAATTATGCTTCTATATTCCTATATCAGAATTCTGTGCTTGACACTTAGTTTACTTAACTAAGTTTCATACTGCAGCCGTTTCATATTCTGCAGTTTCGCTAATTCTTTACTGTCTCTCAGTCTATTTATCTACCCCTCTTAACTAGTGTAATTTCCATTTTTTATAGGTTGTAATGTATATTTCGGTTCAGTTCCTGTAAGTTCTTTCTCTCAAATATTGAGAATGGTGTGTGTGTCTTATACAAATTTATATATTTTGGCCAGGTAGCCTAATCAGTTTCCCAGCACTTGGCTACGGGCATAAATGCATTTATACTCATTTAACCAAAAAATAAAAGAAGTTGAAAATATTCTTTAGTTGCTTCTCGTTTTCTGACCATTCTCAAGTGATTTATTGAAAAGTTATTATTTATCTTCACTTTACTACTTAAACTTTCTTTTGCTTCAGGACGAAATTGATCAAAAAAAGATTAACACTCTTATAAACTGATTTATTTTTAAATAAACTCAGAAATATTATCTAAAATCCACAAATCTTCAAAATTCTTCATGTGTAGGTGAACTAGAAGGGTTCTTCAGCAGAATAAATAACCATTTCTATGCTAATATATGAGACATTTTATGTTATACAGTCTAACTAACTCAAAATCAATTTTCAAGTAATTTACCGTTTTCAATTTGCGTGATTATCTGCTAAACCAACTCGGAGCCTACAGTGTTGTGGTTATCTTGAGATCTTGAGGTTATCTTGAGATGATTTCGGGACTTTAGTGTCCCCGCGGCCCGGTCCTCGACCAGGCCTCTACCCCCAGGAAGCAGCCCGTGACAGCTGACTAACACCCAGGTACCTATTTACTGCTAGGTAACAGGGGCATAGGGTGATAGAAACTCTGTCCATTGTTTCTCGCCGACGCCCGGGATCGAACCCGGGACCACAGGATCACAAGTCCAGCGTGCTGTCCGCTCGGCCGACCGGCTCATCTCCCTGGTGATGGAATGGTTAAATTTACATAGAAATCTCACAGGCTAACAAGCACATAAACGAGCAGATTTACCCATTTGCAAATTTAATAATTCATACTGTTAGAGGTTCATATCAAAGACTCGAAGATTCTCAGAATAACACATTCAAAGGATCAAAGATTCACTGAGTCGCAGATTTAGAGCATAACAGAGACAAATGATCACAGAATCACGAATTTAGAGAATCACAGAATAACGAATTTAGAGAATCACAGAATAACGAATTTAGAGAATCACAGAATAACGAATTTAGAGAATCACAGAATAACGAATTTAGAGAATCACAGAATAACGAATTTAGAGAATCACAGAATCACAGACTGAGAGAATTACAGATTCGCGGGGTCACATATTAATATTATGACAAATTCATAGATTCACATATGCACAGACTCAGCCTCGCACGCATTATTCGAGTAATTTGTAATCCTTGTTCCCAATACGCGATAAGGATATTTTTTCATAAAAATCTCGTTTCTTTCCCAATTCCATTACTTGGGATTCAAACCTTTAACACTTATGTTACGACGATTAAAACATTTAATTACATTAAAGTTTTGAGGGAGGAATCGGATTTGATATTAATAATCATACACGAGAGAATAATTATTCTCATTTTAGGTCAAAATTTTACATGTTGACCTCAGCCTCTGAGATTGTAGGCAAGAGGTCACTGCTAATATTTGACCTGAAGCAATCAATGACCGTGTTTATCCAGAGACTCTTCGTACTGCTAAGACCTTCGTACTGGTAAGACCTTCGTACTGGTAAGACCTTCGTACTGGTAAGACCTTCGTACTGGTAAGACCTTCGTACTGGTAAGACCTTCGTACTGCTAAGACCTTCGTACTGGTAAGAAAATGAAAGAGAGCTGTGATTAATTACCGGATAAAAGGTTATTAAATTACAAACGAGTGGTTATTAGTTTCCATACCAGTGGCTACTCGATTCCAGTCAAGTAGATATTTCATTCCAGGAGAGTGGCTATTTTATTCCAGACAAATGGTTACACAATTCCAAGAGAAAGAATTAATTTGTTTTGCCTGGAAAGTGGGTATTTGGTTTATGGCGAGTATTTGTTTTCGTTTTAGTTAGGAGGTTATTTGTACCTTAAGGACCTGGATAGAGAGAGCTCCTGTAGGGAACTTGAGAATTGGGGTCGGGTCTCTGTGGCGCAGTTGCTAGTCGGCTTGCAACTGATTGATCCTGGATAAAAAATTTCGGGAAAGAAGAAATATCAAAGGACGTTGCATCCTGAGGAGAGACCAGTTAGTCCACAGTGGTCTACGATAAGCTCGTTATGTCTCATCCGGCCATCAATAGGAAGGGAAGAGAACAATCAGGAGAAGCGCCAAGCCATTACGACTATATTACACTGGGAAACGATAAAGATTTGGGATGGGACGGGGGGAAAGGAATGGTGCCCAACCACTTGGACGGTCGGGGATTAAACAGCTTCCTGCATAAATCAAGACCGTCACTCTACCGTCCAGAGCCGCTTAAATCTCACAAACTGTGACATGCAGGGAATTGAGAACTACAATTATATTTCTGATGTGAACAAAAATATACATGCTCACGATTACTGAAACTAACAGAATATGCAAAATTCGACATTTTCGTTAATTTGTTTAATTTATCACCTTCCATTCTTTCACGCACGACAGTGGTAATCGCAGCCGCTTCACAACCAAAGAATATCGGGTTTAATCACTCTGCAGGACAGGAGCATTTGGGCAACGTTTCTTTTCACCTAATATCCCTGTTTACCTAGAAGTAAACAAGGACCCATAACAGTCTCCAGATACTCGACTGTTGTGAGCTGTACCTCATGGAAAAGTTGGTTGAACAAGGAAAAAAAATTATAATTTTTCATATAATTGAATTTTCATTCCTGCTTCACCGCAGATCAACAAAGATAAGCAGTACACCAGTGAACCATATATAACTGTTATTCATTTAGGCTCATACATGACCTAATGTGTTACGGTTAGCCAATTCTTTTTAGGCATGTTATATGATAAATTACATAAGTGATTAAAATGTAATATCACTGCCATTATATTATTGACTTCTGAGTATCTTAAAAACTATGTTCTCATCAGGAAAATATATAAAATATTTGCATTTTCCCTGTCTTACTAGAGAAAGGATGCTTCATCGGGGAGTAGATGAGACGTCTATTGAGGACAAAGATCAAATACAACGAAAACATATATAGAGGGAAATCAACTTGCAAAAAAAAAAATTGATTTAAAGTTGCTTAACAGCGTCATCTTGACACTTATATATTAACTAATAAGCAAAATCTAGGAAAAATCCCTGATGGTCATTCCACTTCGAGATTTCAATTCCTAATCCACAAAGTTAATAATGACCTAAAAGGTAATGAAAAATGGTATGATATCTCATTGTCGGTGAGAGAAGCTATTCAGGCTTATCGAGGACTCTAACTACTGATCTACGGTAGTGCCAACACTATCTATCAAGGGTCTATCTTTTGCTAAGTGTACAAATTTATTAGGCGTAAGGATACGTTCCCAAACGTCTGGACATGATGGAGAGTCAAACAAGAGACCATTCGGTTGCGAGACGATTGAACCAACTTTTCGGCTACTGACACTGTGCGCCAGTTGCCTGAGCAGTGCGTCAGTACACCTCCTGAGCAGTGCGTCAGTACACCTCCTGAGCAGTGCGTCAATACACCTCCTGAGCAGTGCGTCAGTACACCTCCTGAGCAGTGCGTCAGTACACCTCCTGAGCAGTGCGTCAATACACCTCCTGAGCAGTGCGTCAATACACCTCCTGAGCAGTGCGTCAATACACCTCCTGAGCAGTGCGTCAATACACCTCCTGAGCAGTGCGTCAATACACCTCCTGAGCAGTGCGTCAATACACCTCCTGAGCAGTGCGTCAGTACACCTCCTGAGCAGTGCGTCAATACATCTCCTGAGCAGTGCGTCAGTACACCTCCTGAGCAGTGCGTCAATACACCTCCTGAGCAGTGCGTCAATACACCTCCTGAGCAGTGCGTCAATACACCTCCTGAGCAGTGCGTCAATACACCTCCTGAGCAGTGCGTCAATACACCTCCTGAGCAGTGCGTCAATACACCTCCTGAGTAGTGCGTCAATACACCTCCTGAGTAGTGCGTCAATACACCTCCTGAGCAGTGCGTCAATACACCTCCTGAGTAGTGCGTCAATACACCTCCTGAGCAGTGCGTCAGTACACCTCCTGAGTAGTGCGTCAATACACCTCCTGAGTAGTGCGTCAATACACCTCCTGAGCAGTGCGTCAGTACACCTCCTGAGCAGTGCGTCAGTACACCTCTTGAGCAGTGGGCTGACAGTGGTCAGGAGTGTGAGTGACAGGGAGCTGAGGCCTCTGCTGGCACCTGCCAAACGTCACAGGTTATTGGTTTTGGGCTTCAAGCAATAAGCTGCTCTCAGCACCGAGGAACATTTTAAGATCCTGAGTATGAGTCAGTCAAGCTTAAATATATTGATACAAAGCTCCAATTACTTGCAAGAAGATGGTAAATAAATTTAAAACCTTTAAACAAATATTTATAGAAAAATATGTAGACTGTAAAACGAAGCTTTTACAGCTTACAGTCAATAGCTGTAAAAACGAAGCTTTTACAGCTATTGACCGGAGTCTGAATTACACAACACACATTCACAGATGAGTGGCGGGTCCGAAGAGCCAGAGCTCAACCCCCACAACCACAACTAGGTGAGTACAGCTCACTACCAGATGAAGTGATAAACATGGTTACCCAGAAGAGTGGAGCCCAGAGACACATCACTATATCGTCAGAAAACAATTACACAATTGAAACTTAGATGAATTAATCGTGCACACTATGCGGGGATGTTGGAGAAAATGTTGACAAACAGACAAGAAATATCTGGAGAGAACTTGTAACGTTGCTTGAGAGACACAGTTCCACTCAAACTAATCTAATTAAATTCTCTGAAAGAATAGCTAGGATCAGGAAGGAGAAATAATGTTTGAGCGTCATATTGGCTGACAACAGATGTCATTTGAAACGGTGACGAACTTCAGCAATACGAACTGAACTTTCCAATTTGCAAAAGGGGAATTGAACCCACGAGGATATGATAACAAGTTATGAACAGACCTAAATCAGGACCTAAATCAAAAATTAAATCATTAGAACCCCATGAACGACTCTACAGTTTTAATTTTCAAGGCTAATTCCTGTTTGTTTCCATTTTGAGTCATATCCATTTTGAGGTTTGGACTACCTTACCCATTTTGTAATATATATATATATATATATATATATATATATATATATATATATATATATATATATATATATATATATATATATATATATATATATATATATATATATATATATATATATATATATATATAATAGACTTATATTATATTAATAATATATGTCTTATATGTATATATAATATATATATATATATATATATATATATATATATATATATATATATATATATATTGTCCAGAAAGATTTACCTTTGTAATTCCTGTTAGTTTACCTAAAATTTCATAAAATTGCTTACCCAAAAGAACATCTTATTAACAACATAACATGTAATTATTTTAGTTACTCAGTTTGGCTGAGATAGCTATAACAGTGTGTGTGTGTGTGTGTGTGTGTGTGTGTGTGTGTGTGTGTGTGTGTGTGTGTATGTAAATAGTAAAGTGAGCATTATATATTAGTGTCAGAGCGCCATGCTTCGCTTTCTTATCATAATGAACTTGTTATTACGTCTCATTGTTTACGGTATAATGCCTCACAATTCGTGTTTAGGGTGTCACGTTACATTGTATTCATGTATCAGATTTCTGTGTTTAGATGAATTAGTTTTGTCTGCGTATCTCGCAATATTTACATTATAAATATTTTTACATTTCGACTCCCAAAATATTTACGTAATTAACTGTAGTGATTACCATGTCTTCCTCTCTCGAGCCCCGAGACTCTGCATACCAGAGTACAGGAGAACGTTGAATTACAGTAGTACAGTACAAGTTGAAACGCCTAAGATTGGTTTCCAATTACAAAATGCTGTCTAGCATACTATCATCCCAAATTCCCTTTGAATTAATGTGACTAAAGCCGCTCGATTTCTGCAAGCTGGTGATAATTTGCGATAACAGTGATTATACAACAATTTGTAAAGCAGGTTCGAATTCTGCGAGATGTGAGTGCAATTACTGCAACTGCAACACCGAATACAACTGTGGCATACTCGGTTATCAAACACATAATGTTCTATAGTATACTAATACATATTTTCATATTTTCTTGTGGTATACTGAGTCATCTATATATATATATATATATATATATATATATATATATATATATATATATATATATATATATATATATATATATATATATATATATATATATATATATATATATATAAAGTGTTGTATCTAATGATGATGCGTCCAGCGCAACTGTCTAGTGATCACATGTTCCTCTGGTAGCCTTACTTACTAGTGTTGAACACTAAATAATCGTAACTCACACATAAACTATTTTCACCGTTAAACAATTTTTTGAGACCTCGTCCTGATCGCGTGTGCCAGTTTCTTTCAGGAATTCTAATTAGCATCGATTACACCTGGTTAATAGGCAGACAGTGAAAGTTTGGTTCTGGTATACAAAGGCTTGGCGTGTCGGCTTCTAATTAACTCTATGCTATATCTCGTTGTCATCATTTGCTCGGTGGCAGGTGGCTTGATCCAGCTGGTTAACAAATATTCTGTTTGAATTAGTGAGCAGCATTTTGTCTGCTCATTTACTTCCTCCAATCACTTACCCATTAATTAGCATATTCCTATTGTCATTTTCTCTCTGTTTAAATGTATTTGATTCTCTCTCTCTCTCTCTCTCTCTCTCTCTAGAGCAATGACTAGCTGAGATTGGCAAAGCAATGCAATATTCGAAGGTTACGGAACTCTGACCATGAAAATATTAATATAATGTACCAACATGAAATCTCATGGTTTAAAAATATATGTAGTAGCGGCCCCATTATGTGATGTAGTGGATTCACTCGTCTTAACTCAAAGACCTAACTGGTTGTAGCAGTCTTATTCCATCCTATTCCCCTGGGCTCTTTGAGACTCGAACCCTGGATCTCTCCGCTTGTGAGACCGAAGCTCTATCGACCAATATAATCTTACGTGCTCTTCCAGCAATGGTACTCCCCATAATCTTACGTGCTCTTCCAACCATGGTACTCCCCATAATCTTACGTGCTATACCTCCCGTGTTATACCTCATATTCTTAGCCTTCACTGCCTGCCATATTCTTATAAAGTTGTCTGCTAATCTTTCCTCTTCCGCCCGTCCAAATCTCTTCTCCAGCATCTCGTATCTCCAAGATTAGCTTTAGCGGCTGAGATTTCGTTCTCCTAATCTCCTCTTCCGCTCCTGAAAATGACCTTTCTAATTACACGGGGCAATTTTCGCTCATTTCCTTGAAGACTGGACAAAATGTCGCGAAATCATCTGGGTTAGCAAGCAGATTAGTGAGGAAAAAGATAACAAATTAAATGAGGAAAAATAATTATTCCATTTACGGTTTTGTGGAATCCCACATTGGAAGATAAACGAAATATGCAAAAGGACTCGGATATTGTCTTTCATTTTCCTTTTGGATACTTGTATCTGTATCTGTGAAAGAAAATATCTGTCTGTTAGGTTGGCGGGCCAGACGCTTGCGGCTTGTCTCACTCAACTTTGCAGAATGAATACTTGGAGGTTCGGGACTGTCAAAGGCTGTTCTTAACCGCACTCGTTCCCCCCGCCCCTCCCTCTAAGAATAATATGCTCACATTGCAAACTCTGCGAATAATCTCAATTTCTAATATAAAAATTTCTAATCTAATCTAAATTTAAAAATTAACAGATTTCTGTTCTAGAGGTTCCTAACATTTAAACCGTTTGGGGGTCAACCTCATCTCCCATTTCTAAAAAAAAAATGCAGTCTGATAAATTATATAATTCTTTACCAGGATTATAATATGTCTCATTCATCTTAGCGAGTAAGGCAAACTTACATGTCAGCTAATTCTCAGAAGTTTCCAACGGAGACATTTCCATTACGACTTTATCTTGCTGAAGCGCTCTCTAAGAAGTCCCTTTTTGTCCCCTATTACACCCTCGCTTTGGAGACCTTTTTTGTATTCATGTAATTTATTTTTGATTGTCTAACATTTCGTATCTCTGTAAAGGCCAATTTTTGAAGCAAAGAAAACTATGATATATATTGAAATTTGAAAATATTTCTTCAAATGACGTTAAAATAAATGTCGTGTTCTCTACATGACCTTAGAAAACAAAAAATAAATTACTGTACGTAAAAAAAACAATTATTAATAGAATATGTTAGAAAACAATACAGATTACTACTCATCACAAAACCTTTAATAGAGATATTTTAATTCAATACAATAATAATGAACATTATTTAAATTAAATGGAAGGTGAAGCACGTAAAATTATGAAGTATAATCTTACGTTAAGTTATTAAAGACAATTGTTCAGTTATTTGACCTAACTACATTCTGATGGTATATATTGCTAATTAATAAAGGGATTTGCTTTTCGAACTATTTATTGTACGCACATATTTTGTTATATTTTGTTGAGCGTATCGCCTATATACACTTACTATTTAGCTGAAAACAAATATTGCTTAATTATTTAAAACAATTAATCAAAGTGTTAATTCAGTAAGTAAACATTTATTTGCAGAGTTTTGTCATTTTTTAAATAAATTAATAAATATTTGATCATATTAATTTATCAATCCGTAATGCTAAATTCGCTTCAGATATTTTGAAAGTGTTAATTGGAAAGTTCCATCTCGTTGAACTTTGCTCGTTGTGATTGCAAAGAGAGAGCTGTTGCAAATGTTTTTGCTAAGCTTTGGCAAACATTGACCTAAGTCGTATGTCAGCTGCTAACATTCATCATTGAAGCTCGAGTCCTTCACTGAAGCCTACGTCAGTTACTAATGTTTATGTCAGATGCTAATGTTTATTTCTGTCACTAATGTTTACGTGAGTCACTAATGTTTACGTTAGT